GTGTTGTGTGGGAGCGGTGCTGGACTCAAGGGGAATGAGGCAACCCACTTTTACAGGCCATCCTATGTGTGTATGTGTGTGTGTGTGTATGTGTGCGTCTGTATGTTTGTGCGTCTGTGTGTGTGTGTGTAATGAGTTTTTCTTTGTGTGTGTCATAGGTAAGTGTGTTTGTCATGAATTTAAGTGTGTGTCATATGTTTGTGTGTGTGTGTGTGTGTGTGTGTATGTGTAAGATTTAAGACGTTGTATATGTGTGTATGTTTGTGTGTCTGTATGTTTATGTGTGTGTGTATGTATTGTGTGGGTATGTTTGTGTGTTTGTGTGTGTGTGTATGTGTATGTGTGTGTATGTGAATGTGTGTGTGTCTGATCAATGTTCATGTGTAAAGGAGCAGCAGTCTATGCTGTGCACTATAAAAATGCCATAAACTAGGCATCGTACATAACCGTTTAATACAAGTCTTCTGTTTACTCTGCACCTAAATATATTCATTAAAATATTGATCCTGTTGATTCCTGACAGGAGCTGCACTCTGCGCTGCGCACAGTAAACATGAACGCCACTGACTGGACAAACTCACTGAACAATTAGCCTTTCATTATAAGTGTTCAGCAGCGGCTCGTGTTGACTTTTCTGCAGGTGAACTGACTCATGTGGTGACGTGGAGCAGAATAAACACACACAGACGGACACAAGCTGGCACAGGCGCCCGCACAGCCCTGGCACACGCATGTGAGGGTCAACGGGCTACACGTGTACAACATTCCCTCTCTACGGATACTTGGCAACCCGCTCTTTCATCCCTGCGGAGTGTGTGACGCACACAGACTCGCACTGCGCTGCTGCAGGATTTTAAAAAGTGACAAAAAACACACACACATAGTCATACACACACACACACACACAGACATACACATACACACACACAAACAGTGCTGAACACTTCAGGTTTAGGAGACCACAGGCCACTTGCTGCATCAGTGGTTGCCCAGCAACCAAACAGGCCCGGTCACTGTTGTCAAGGTGACCAGAAGTTTTCTAAAGTCCACTCGTGAGGCTCTCTGCACAGATAAATGAATGCATTAAAGTTTGAGGCGTGCAGCTGCAGCGGCTCCTCACTGGTGTCAAGCTCTTGTGTAGATCTGCTGGAAAATAAACAGCGGTGCTGCAACACCTCCACATCATCACACACACTTCACAGCCGGAGACTCACTCCAACTGCTGACGGAGAACAATCATCTGCTGCACATCCATCCTTTCATCCATCATTCTAATCAATCTATCCATTCCTGCAAATTGAAACCTATTCCATCCATCCATTCATCCACCTATACACCAATTCATTCATCCACGCACCTTTATATACACCAAACCATCCA